TTACTTGTTTCGATATTATCACCAACGTCTAAATAGAAAAACAAACAAACATTCAAGTCGACTCATTCTTAAATCTTATAATATATATGATTTAAAAAGCCTGAAATTTTAAATCTACCTTGAAGAAAACAGATATATAATAAAAAGTATTTTTATTTCTTTTTAAAAATTTAAAAATGCTTTATAACTTACTTGTTTCATATTATTACCAACGTCTAAATAGAAAAACAAAGATATATGAGTTATATATGATTTTAAAATATGTATGATTTTAAAAACCTGAAACTTTAAATCTACCTCAAAGAAAACAGATATATATTGAAAAGTATTTTTATTTCTTTTTAAAAATTTAAAAATGCTTTTTAACTTACTTGCTTCAATATTGTCATCATCTAATTAGAAAAACAAACAAACATTTAAGTCGACTCATTCTTAAATCTAGTTTAATTTCTTCAATAATAAAAAAAATTTAATCTTTGAGGATTAAATTCATTTACAAAAATCCGTTTAAGTTCGTTAAAACCATTTTAACATTGTAAAGTTAATTTAAAGTTTTAAAAAACTGAAACTTTAATTCTACCTCAAAGACAACAGATATATATTGAAAAGTATTTTTATTTCTTTTTAAAAATTTAAAAATACTTCTAAACTTACTCCCCCAATATAATTATATAATATATATAGTATATATGATAAATAAACCTCCACAATTTCCTTAGTTTAACAACTCGATTATGATTAATAACAACTCTGTAAACATGAATTTTCTAATAACCTAAATAAATTACAGATAGACAAACATAAACTAACACAATTAAATCCTAAACCAAAATTCATTCATGCAATACAAATTATTTTATATTTATTGAAGAGCCAGAAACATATTTTTTTTGAAGAGCTAAAGTATTAACAATATTAAAGATAAATTTTATTTATAACAAAATTTTCAATAAAAATTAAATTAAGATAAATTTATAACAAAATGTTGTCATGGCTTTTATCCCAATAACCAAAACTAAGTGAAAGCATGAAACTACCCATAAATATATTTTAACGCTAGACACAATTTAAGAATTAAAGTAATCTATAGCACGAAGCTTTAAATTTAAAATTACAATTTAAAAAAGATTACAATAAATAAAATTTTAAAAAAAATTTAGATTACCTATAATTTTAAGCTACTAAACATTATCTACTTAATGTCAACTTAGACGTTTTGAACTCGTACCATGAAAGGTTGAGAGAAATCTGTAAGTAAGCACGCGGTAAAGAAAAGTCTAGAAACTACTTAAAAAGTGTATTTTACAGATACAGAACCGTACCGTAATTATAAAACAATAAGCGTAACTATGCGCATTAATAATATTCATAGGCTATTCATTATAGGCGGATATATTATATATATATATATATATATATATATATATATATATATATATATATATATATATATATATATATATATATATATATATATTATATATGTGTGTGTGTATATATATATACACAAATATATATATATATATATATTTATATTTATATATATTTATATATATATTGTATATGTGTGTATATATATGTATATATATATATATATGTATATATATATATATATATATATATATATATATATATATGTGTGTGTGTATATATATAAAAGGTAGCAAACTAATTACATGCAATTATCGATATTGTAAATTGGTGTAATGTAAATTTGCTCACTTATCCAAGAAATTTTAATCAAAGTCGAATGCAAGGTCATAACCTTCTCTCTAACTATTAAGCTAGTTAGAGAGTTAATTAAAAACAGCGTCATCAGTTTTTTACAAATATAGATATATATACACATGAGTGTGTGTAAGAAAGAGATACAGTCCTCGGCAAAACCTAGAAGTGCTTTAGATCATCAAAAAATTGTTAACCTCGTTTCTTTGTTAAATGTGAACCTTTGTGTCAAAATATTTTTTGCTGACCTGATGCCGACCTCTAATGGTTTAAGGTTGGCAATTTATTCCCAACCACATTTTTTCTAATAATGAGGGCTGTAGATAAACAAATTGATAGTCTTGTTTTTTGCTATTTTTATTTAAGATTTATAGAGTTGATAAAACATTGTAAAAACAATATTATTAAAAAAAGTTATATATATATGTATATATATACACATACTCTCTCCTATCTTCATGTTTTCCTGACTCATACAACCTACAGCTTTTCAAGTCTTCTACCAACTATTTCCTTGTTCTATATTTTGTATTATTTTATTTTAGTAACTACTAACTTAATTGTGGTTGCTTGCATCCTTGTTGAGAGGGAATCAGTATTGTCTAAAAGCCCAGTGGTGTACACTGGGCTTTTAGATGTTAGTTTTGACGCTTACAGGTATTGTGCAAACTCCAAACTTTGTATGTTCATGCTTGTGTCAAATGAGAATATTTTGCAAAGAGTTATGGTGATTGGAGCTTGGGGACAAAAAACCCCAATTTTTGGGCCCACCCAGCCCATAATGTGGGAGCAACAAGTTTATAAAATAATTTCTTTAGTATTTTTATCTAAGTTTATATTCATCAACAAATTTCAAATTTCAGGCAATAATCTCTTAATGTTTAGTTTTTATGACCCTAAAAAGTTTAAAGCCCTCTTAATTTATGGGGGGAGGGGGTGTTAAAACTTTATATGGTCATAATTTTCTAAAAATAAGAGATTATTGCATGAAATTTGAAATTTATTGATGAATATAAACTTAGATAAAAATACTAAAGAAATTATTTTATCAACTTATTGCTCCCACATTAAGGGCTGGGTGGGCTTAAAAGTTGGAAGTTTTTTGTCCCCAAGCTCCAATTCCAAGCTCCAAAAATCAATCAAAGCTCAAATTTTTTTATAAAGCCTCAAAGGCAGGAAAATTCAAGATCTGCAAATTATTTTTTTTTCTTAATTTTAATTACATAATCCTTTATTTTAAATTTTAAACTAAATTTCTAAATTGTTCTAAATTGTTTCTAAATTTCTCTTTCTTCCTCGACTGTAGTGGCCCTCAACCTTGAGGAAATAAATAATAATTTAAAAAATAACAATAATAAACAATATAACACCTTATGACTAAAAAATGAGACAACTTTAAAATTGTTATTATAGCCATAGTTACATAGCTATCAAATTTAATTTAAAATAAGTTTATAAACAATTATATGATATCTAAAAAAATATATTTATTGGTTTTCAATAGCATCATTAAAAGCAGGAGACATTCGATGTATGCTTGTTTGTTGATTGCCTAGCCACTTTCAAAAAACATTGGTTTTGAAGTCCCTTTGGGCGATATAATCATAGAGAATAGCACCTTTTCCTTGTACTTCTTCTTCCTTTTGAATTTGACGTTGCTAGTTGTAGATGACACGTCACTAGAATAGAAGCCATTGATGCCAGCCAATGTTGTATTCGCATATGTGAAATAGGATTTGTTATCCAAGACAAAATTAAAATTCCTAAAATTGCGATATATATGCTGACACAGGTTTGATTCGAGCTAGTTAGCTTTTGCTTCGATGTGGAATCTTTTTCTTCTCGTAATATCTAATATTCATCTTGTTTTTTAAGAATTTTAGATATACGATTGGTCCCAATTGAATCTTCGAGCTACTTGATGTTGTGAAACACCGTGATGATGATCAAATTCCTTTTTAAATTGGTCTATGTGCTTTTTGTCCATTTTTATTGCCTTTGGGCCGCTTCCTTTTTTTCGTTGATAGCCTAAATTATTGTTGACATGTTCTAGAGCACGATATATGGTCGCTTTCAATGCTCTTTCATCTAGAAAGTGTTTTACTGTGAACATTTTTGGCTTTTCCAGATGCAAATTTCTAAATTGGCAAATGCGTTTTCTTAGGTCTTCTTGCAAACTTGTTTTATACACTTTAATTAATATTTTAAAACTATAATATAATTTTAATAGAGTATTAAGTTCCCTATAAATATACTAATTTATTTCAATTGCATGATTATGAATAGCATACAATAAATTGATTTAAATTTTGTCTCATTTTTTAGTCATCAGGTGTTATATAGAAAAATAGTGTAACTAATTATATATTTGGAAAAGTTAAAATTTCAAAGGACTTATTATGACTTGGCCAGCAGGTGCAGCAAAAATATCACAAGAAATTATGAAGAATTTGAAAGGATTCAGCTAAGGTTAAACATTTTGACACTAAGCTTCAGAAAAAAAATCTGCTTAAAAAAGACTTGATCTTTCCAGACACAATGGAGAAAGACAAAATTACCAGAAACAATGAAGTAAAAAAAAAGATAGAACCAAAGACTGCATAGATAATTCCAGAAAATAGTTACAAAATTTACATTAAAAAATGTCAATCCTATAAAAAACAAGGGTATCAGAAGGAATTCAAATGGGGTATCAATAAAAAAAAATTTAAAAACAATAAAAAGCCTGCATTACCCTAGAATAGCAAGCCATTATATGACTACAGATCCATGTCTTGTTAAAAAGTTCTTGGCAGTATATGCATGCTGCATATGGCATATGCAGCATGGTATATACTGCCATATATGGTATATGCTGCCTGGAATTGTTTAACAAGACATGGATCTGTACCCTAAATGTCTCGTTTATGTTAACAATACCTTGTTAACTTTCAGTGCTGATAACTGAAGTTTAATTTCTTTAAATATATTCTATAAGTTTCTTTTGGACACAAATATTAATTTATTTTAATTTATTAAGTATTTTAATATATTACTAACTCATATACTTCTGTTATATTTATTATTTAAAAATGTAAGTTTACTTTTAAACCTGCAGTGTTTTATAATTTCATATTATGTTTGTTATGACATTTTTGACTAAATGCTACTGTTTTGATGATATCAAAATAAAGTTTAAATTCAAGGAAATGTTACTAAATTACAACAGTTCATGAGTTATTTTGAAACTATTAAAAAACATTTTATTTTATAAAAAATGTTTTTAAAAATTTTAGATATTGGGAATCATTACACTACTTTGATGAAGCAATTCTGTGTACTCCGAATGATGCAAAGATTTATGAAATGAAAGCTCAGGTAAAATTACATGTACATAATAAGGTGTGATAGTTGCCCCAACTTTGTCGAATGATGGTGTTCATAATTTTGGTATTGTATTTAAACATAAAAATAACATATACAAAGTTTTTTTTAAGAATTTTATACATGTGAATAAGCACAGAGAAATTGAAAATATAAAATTCCAAAAATCTTTTTTTCTATTGTGTTACTATCTAATATTATGGTGGGGCTCAGAAAAAAATAAGCTGGTTTCTTTTATTAAATTTATTTTACTAAATACAGCCATAGAGAGTACAAGATAATAAGAAAAAGTTTTTTCACAGGGTGTAATTAAGGTATAATAGTGCCAAATAAAATTACTTGTTTTCTGGGACTAGAAACCAGGATTTCTCTTTTTGTGCACAAAATGCTGGTTTGAAATCCATTGTCTTTGAGATTCTACTACTTAAAGAACGTTGTGAAAGTGTTTCTCATCCATAGTTACATCAGAATTCATGGCACATTTTCACACCAGGCTCTGTTGTCTCATTTAGCACCCGAAGTTTGTTGACAACTAATTTCATGTTTTAAAAGTCTTCCCTATTATTCCAATCATGTGCTGGAATATGGAGGAATTTATAGGGCATACAAAAAACACTAGGTCAACTAGAGAAGTACCATATTCTATTGTAAGAGGAAGATAGGGCTTGTCATATCCCCCAAAGTTGAGTCCAACTCTATTTGTGAAAGAAGTGTTTTCAAAGGTAAGAATGGATTTCTTCATTTCCTTTTTGTTTTCCACTGCTATGATAGATGAAAGCAGAGCTTTCATCTATCATAGCAGAAATATTCAGAAAGCAGAGCTTTCATATCATAGCAGCATGGAATCAACTCCTTGGATTAGCATCAAGTCGACTGAATGCCATGCATTTTCTGACTGAATGCGAGCATTTTCAACTAGAGTTGAGTCATACTTAGCAAATTTTGCCAAATTCTCCACTAAAATCAAGTCATTTACTGGTCTCTTGCTATCTCTTGCTGCCGTTCTTTTTCTATAGGCATCATTTGCGGGTATATTTTGCCAGTTCATCTGATGACAGTTTAGGCAATCTAAAAAGGTGATATAGTAAATAAATGTTCATTGTTGTTAAAACTATAAATAATAAGAGCACTACATCCCAATTGTAAAAAGTAGTTTTTTACTATTTTTTCTGCAATATGTTGATTGTAGGTAAAACAAAAGATATGACCTATTAAACTCACATTTAGAAGATCAAAATATTTGGACAAGCTGATGTCTGCACTTTGAAACTTTTCCAGCTATAACTCAAAAGTCACCCACATGACCATGACAAGCAAACCAGAAAACAGCTGAGGACCTCCTTCTGTAGAACCACACATGCAGCAGTTTTTTTTTACCTGAAAATGTGTATCATTACAGTGTAGTTGTATGATTTTCATTCAGATATTTTCTATTAAATTAATCAGGCTTACCTGTATTTGATAAATTTGTATCAAAAACCATGTTATAATATTTTCTCAACACTTTTATTCTCTAAGAAGTTTTTTAGTTGTCTTTGCTATGTCTCCAAGACCTTTACCAGTTTCCAAGACCTTTACCAGTTTCCAAGACTTTTACCAGTCTCCAAGACCTTTACCAGTTCTTTTAGTTGATTTTGGATGTGGGGGAATGCCAAGGAAGTTGGTTTTCCATGTAAATTTTCCATCCCAGTGCACCAGCATTTTTGGCAATGGCATCCAATCTTTAAAGTTATTTCAGTTACAATAGCAGTTTTATACCAGTGGTTTAATAGCAGTCTTATACCAGCTGTCCTTGCATTTAGACAGCTTGTAAGGGTCACCCCCACATGCTGCTTCAAGGGAGTACACAATGGCACTAAGTTGGGTTGATGAGATGTTATTACAGATACCGCATGTAACAAGGTCAGAGTTTTTTAATATGTCATGAGGAACAAAGATATCACATTTAACTATTCTTCTGTTTTTCCTATTCTGTGCTGTGTTAACTTCTTCAATGTTTTCATCTTCACAAGAACTGCTGCCTGGTTCAATAATTCTTGATCCCAATGCAAATCTTTCAGACTTGATAAAAGGCATAACAAGACCTGTCTCTGTGATGAAGTTTAGAGCTCTTTATTTTCTTATCATCATCTCCAAAATTGGTGACAAGTAACAATTTTATATATTTGTTATGTATTTTTTATCTGTGATTAAATACTACAAAATACAATATATATATATATATATATATATATATATATATATATATATATATATATATATATATATATATATATATATATATATATATATATATATATATATATATATATATATATATATATATATATATATATATATATATATATATATGGTTGACTGGTTGAAAAAAATAATCAGAGATTTAAAAGGTTTGATAAATAATCAGGATGTTATTTGGAAAATGCTTATACTTAAATTTTGAAAAAGCGTTTAAAATAGTTTTCTTGTTTATGGTGTGCTAAATTTTTCTTGTTTATGATATGATCAATGCTGCCTGGTTTTTATCTTTGTTTTAAAAGCGTTCTAATAAATTTATTTTTTATCAATATAATTCAATAATTAAAAATTAGTAATGTATTAATAATTTTTTATTACTAGTTCTGCTTCTTATAATATATTTGAGTATATATTAAATTTATTGTTGTTAAAACTTATCTAATAATTATTGCATATTAACAGAAACCAGTAATTTTTCTGCTTTAACAATCCTGAACTCATTAATTCGCTTTGATGACAAATGTATTGCACATAACGTAATATGTAACAACATAAACTATAATTAAGTTTTTGCTTCACTTATTTAAATTAATTTTATTTTACTGATGGTAAATCTATGGCCTACTTTATACACGGCCGTATATGTTGCATAAATAGGCCGAAAATTAGAAGGCCAGTTTTTAGCATTTCGGTTATTTTTCATACTGCCAGTTAATATTATTTAAATTTTATTTTGGGAGATATTGATTAAGTTGGAAATTTAGTTTTGGATATAATGGTGTTTTTAATTGTCGATCTGGCTATAAATTAAAAAAAAATGAATCTAGTTTTCTTAGTGCAAGTAAAGCTGTTTTTAGTTTTCCTAAAGATATTGTTTTAGAAGAAAAATGGATGAAATTTGTTAACAGAAAAGATTGGAAGCCAAGCAAATATTCAGTTATATGCTTGGACCATTTTGAAAAAAATTATTTAAAATATGGAAAACGAGTTACCTTAAAATATGAGCTAAACCCTGTTCCAACCATTTATTCTGATGAAATTTCTGTTCCATCTTCTATAATACCTAAAATTCCTACTTTTCGTAAACCTCCAACTGACCGACATTCTACCATCCCAGATAAAATTCATACATTTCAAGAAATGGATAAAATAAAAAACATTGATATGCTTCATGAATCTAACTCTCCAAATGGATTTAGTTTACAAAGATATGAAAGTTTTGTTTTATATTATCGTTTATTTTTTGTAGACACAACTCCATTTATTGAATCAATACGCATCGATAACAATTTGCACGTAAAGTTACATTACAAAAGTTCTACACTTCCACTCCCTAAATGATTTAGAACAATTAACAATTGTAAGCTTACAAGTTTATCGATTTTAAATAATTTGGTGTCTTATATGCACAACCTTGTTGAAGAAAATTTGTATGGTTTAGTTAATGAACTTTAAAATTTAATTTTTTACAAATCCAAAGGTCGTCCTCCATATTCTTCACAAGTATTACGTTTTGCACTTATGCAAAGATATTCATCATTTCAGGCATATTCCCTTCTTTTGAAACAACTCCCATTGCCATCAATGTCACTACTAAAGAAGTTAGTTTCTGGTGGAATCGATTCAATAAAATCATTAAAACTGTTATTAAATGAAGGAAAAACAAGCAATGATTGTGTTCTCTTTTTTGATGAAATGTATTTACAGCAATCTTGTGAATACCACAGTGGTAGATTAATTGGTCAAGATACTGAGGGTAATCTTTACAAAAGAATAATTATGTTCATGATTGTTGGTCTTAAAAAATCAATACCATATGTTATTAAAGCTATCCCAGAAATTATTCTTACTGGAGATTTTATTAAAGATGAAATAGAAGAAAGTTTAAATACATTAAAAACTGCTGGTTTTAACATTCATACATTGATTGCTGATAACCATCCAACTAATGTGTCAGCTTATTCAATATTACTCAGCGTTTATGGTTCAGAGAAGCCAGAAGAAAATTTTTGTATCGCTTTTAATGGTCATATAATTTATTTGATGTATGATAGTGTACATTTGCTCAAAAACTTATGAAATAATATGATTAGTACCAAAAAGTTTATTTTCCCATCATTTCAGTTCACTAATTACATTTTTAATATAAAAGTCTCTGCAGGTGATATATCTTGGGGATTGCTTAATAGAGTGCATGAAAAAGATGAAACTCTATCAGCTAACTTAAGAAAATAATCAAAACTAGGAGAAAAGACATTATATCCAGGTAACAATAAACAAGACGTCAACCTAGCATTAAATATATTCCATGAAACTACATCTGCAGCAATTCAAAGTTATTTTCCTAATGAATTTTCAGCATCAGAATTTTTAAAACTTGTTAATTTATGGTGGGTAATATCTAATTCTAAAATGAAATACTCTAATCATAAGTTTCGAAATGCATCTGTTATGGGGGATGGTAAGCCACAATTTTTACATGCATTTGCTCACTGGATTGATCAGTGGCAAAATTTGCAATACAGTTCCACCAAAAGATATTCTCTTACAGCTCAGACTTCTAAAGCCCTTATTGTAACACTGTAAAGTACTTCTAGTTTAATTGAAGATCTTCTATTTGAAGGATATAACTATGTCCTAACCTCTTGTTTCCAAAGTGATCCATTGGAGCGACATTTTACAAAGTATCGTCAAATGAGTAGTGGCAGATTTCTTGTTGGATTAGGTGAAGTAATAACTTCTGAAAAAATTTTGCA